GTCTGTGGTCTCATTGGTCCAGTGGGAAGAGGGCAGTATTTGTGCTAGATCAGTGAACTGGCAGCCTGTTTTTGTAAATAGCTTACTTATAAATATTTTTCATATTTATTTGTTCAAATATTGCCTATGGCTATTTTTTCTCTATAACCTTGGAGTTGTATATGGTTTATAAGCCTGAAATATGTAGTCTCTGGCTTTTTAAGATAAATGTGGACTCTGTGAGGTATTTCTGAGTGCTGCCCTGCTACAGTCTCCCTTGTCTTTTCCCACCCCTATACCTGTACTTTCTCTCCCTTCTCCTGGTGCATCCTCCACACATCTGGCACACCCCACGCTGAGTGCTCTCCCTGCCTGGGAACATCACTTTAGGGACTGCTTGTCTTACATCAGGAGACTCCTTGCTAGCAAGAGGAAAAAATGAATGGGGCAGCAAACATACTAGAACCCAATTCCAGAACCTCTACTGAGGGCTGGAGGAGGACCCTTGCCTGACTCCAAGTTGTAAGGGATCCTCTTCCTAGGCCACAGGAGCCAGGTGAGTTCACGGATGGTGAGCACAGGTTCTCTGGGACCCCCACATCTCTCATGGCATCTGTAAGGTTTAAGCAGTCCAGTTCTGGGCACAGTTTTCCTTTTACTTCTGTGGGCAAGGCCCGGGCTGATGACAACTGCAGAGTGAGGAGATAATTTGAGGGCACCAGTGTGCCCTGGAGGGGAACTGGGAGCACCAGAGGCTAGGTCCCTCCCGTGCCCTTTGCCCTGCAGTTCCAGACCCTGGGGCCCATTGTCCCTTTTCCTCCAGGCCCTTTACTTTTCTTTTTTTTTTAATTTATTTTTTTTAGAAGTTGGACACAATTCCTTTATTCCATTTATTTTTATGTGGTGCTGAGGGTCAAACCCAGGGCCCCGCACATGCTAGGCGAGCACTCTACCGCTGAGCCACAATCCCAGCCCCAGGCCCTATACTTTTCAAACAAAATTAAACTCTCTTTCTTGATTCCCCTTTGCCCATCTGAGTTCTGGCAGGCCATTTCGGGGACTGGGCAGGAGCAGAGGGAAACTAAGGGGCCTGAAGACGTTGCTTCTGCATTCCTGCTATTCTGCCACTAGGTGGCGGGCTTGAGGTGTCTGCTCCTTGTGCTGGGTGTTCTGACACTTGCCACGTTCACAGGTCCAGGTGTAGCCTTGAAAGGCTGAGGTTACACACTCTGAATCCTATGGGCCTGACTAGTTCTCTCTGCCCCCTAAGTCAGCACATCAACATACCCAGACTATTTTTCAGGGTATTTTTACCTGGTTGGAAGGGGCCACCAATGCCTATCTGCAGTTGCAATTTTTTGCTTACTGGTGCTCCCCCACTATGCTCTGAGAACAGGGACTTCTGTTCTGCTGTGGGCCCCTTGCCCAGTACAGGCCTGGTGCAGCAAAGAGGGTAGAAAGTGTTTGGTGGTGAATGATATGTGAACAGGAGAGAGTGTTGCCATCCCTGGTCATATCACCTTTGTTGTCTAGTGAATGTTCTTTTATAATCCATCTACCCTGTGGGAAGCCAGGGAGAAGGACCCAAGCATGAGTGTATCCTGGGGAGGGGTCAGTTCAGAGACAGGAGCAGCCTCTGGCCTGATTCTGGTGGTGCCAGCATTTTAGGGATTCCATAAACAAAATGAGAGGCACCAAGGAGACCCAGGGAGGTCTGGGCTAAAATAATCTGCTGTGAGGGGCTCTGGGGCAGTCCGGGCCCAAAGAATGCTGCTTATTTCCAGGTACAGTTTTTAGGCTTACTGGGCCCTAGTTTGAAGTCAGGAGCAAACAGGGACCAGAAATAAGAACTGGTATGGGCTCCAGGGCTTTGTCTTCCCAGTCTAACAGGATATATGGCTGTCCAAGGGTTCCAGACATAGGCTTGGAGGGTTGCTGTTGTGTTGGGAAGCAGCCACACCTCCATCAAAGCAACTGCTCTGACAGCTTGGGGCAATGTCAACAAGGGATCTCCACCCAGCCCAAGGAGGATGACAGTGGGAGTGAGGCCTGAGGTTGGACTGTGCTTGGAGACTGCAGATGGTGAGTAGGTTCCCTTGTGCACAGCAGGTCCTAGGAAGAAGTGTAGGTATTCCTGTTGGCTGTGTCCCGTTCAGTTGGATGAGCCTATGCTAGCTTGTGTTCTTGAATGTAAACCCAGAAAGGTGTCTTCCACTGACATGCAGGTGCCATTTTCCTGCCTAGAACAGGCTCTAGAGTAAAAATGGCATCACTTACCAGGGTAATTACTGGTTTGGGTTCGATTTCCATTCAAAACAGTAATCCCAGCCTGAACTGGGTGTCAGATCTGAAGGTTGATTATTAGTAACATTTATCAACAGCATCTCAGCTTCAGGCAATTACAGCTAATCTGCCATTCCTGATCTCAGAGACTGCCAGCTTCTTCCCTGCCAGCCCGCCCCCTTCACTCCCCTCCCTCTTCCTCCCCCCACCCTTCACAGACAGCCTGAGGGAGGGCAGGAGATGGGAGCCACCTGATGAGTCACTGTCACCCGGTGTGTAGGGGGCCCTTGTGCTTGCTAGGCACCTGTGCCTCCCAGTCTTCATGTTGCAGAGTCATGTGAAATATGAATCGGATACTCTCAGAACTGAGAGGAATCCCTGCATTTTATCAGCCATGAACCAACCTCCTGGCTCCTTGACATACATTTTCTTTTTTTTTTTTTTTTAATTTTTTATTGTGGGTTGTTCAAAACATTACAAATTTCTTGACATATCATATTCCACACTTTGATTCAAGTGGGTTATGAACTCCCACCTTCACCCCATTGACATACATTTTCAACTGTATCAGCATTCCCCCTGCCCCTGACTCAGACTGTCCCCTGCTTCTAGGGCTCAGAGTAGGTGAGGCAAGGGAAGCATTTACTTCCAGTGCAAAATGTAAGGGGCCTCCAAAAAGCTCAGTAATCAAGATAAGTAATATTTCAAATGCAGTCTTTTTAAAAAATCAGAATAATTCAAATGCATCCATAACAAAATCAAAATTTTAACACAGGCAGGACACAGCCCTGTACTTTCAGGCCTTGACCTCACTTGCTTCTTCCTGATTTCAACCCTGTCATATCATATCCTTCCTTTGTTTAGAATGTTAATCTTTTTGTTTATCATGAACATTTTTAAATTATATCTCTCCCACTGAATTTTTGGACATGTCCTTAAATTCTACATCAGGTGAGTGCTTTATCCAGAATACCTAGCCCTGGCCCTGCCGCCCTCACTCTGTCTGGGCCCTGACCCAGCAGCTCCCTTCATCTCTCATGCCTACTGCCTTGGGTAGAGTGGTTCAGCTTCTCTCTGAGCAGGGGCCCAGGGTAGCAAGGGACCAAAAGGACCCCCTCCAGGGTTTTCCCTACTGCCCATTCCCAACTTCATCTCTCTGGACTCTGATTTAGCCTTCACACACCTCAAAGAAGGCCTGAGGTTGCCATGGTAACTGCTCTGGGGGACAGAACATGCTGGTCTTGCTCCACTCTTATAATCACATCCAGCCAAGGCAGAGCAGGCACATCCGACAGTGCTCCTGACATGCTAATCTAAAAGGAAGCTGAAGCATCACTGGATGTGTACGGAGGTGGAGAAAATTACATCTGCCTGAATTCCTCCCAGGAAGAGGACAGAATGTGGCTGAAAGAAGAAATGTGATGATCTGTTTGTGACAGGGAGTGATTTGCTGAAGTAGACACGGGTGCCTAAGCAGCTTCCTGCAGAGGGTGGGTCTCACTGAAGGGCTCCTGCTGTGCTGTACAGAATCTGTTAGCACAGGCACCCTACCCAAAGAACACCCTATTCTCCTGGTCTAACCCTATGGACCAATGTATAAACTTGAGAGCTTGAGCAGGAAAGGACCAAGGAGAACTTGAGAAAGTGCTGGCCTGAGCATCAACTTTGAGAGGCCCATTTACTGGAAGGATCCATTATGGCTGCAGCAGGACAGAAGACACCTGAGAGAGAGAGTTGGAGAGACAGAGGGTTGGGATCTTCAATTCCATACCTTCAATACACATACCCTGCCTCACCTGGAAGCTGCCCATGTTCGGTGATTCTGTGCAGTATTGGGAAACCTGGTTCTGTCTTGGTTCCAACCCTCCTCCCTTGGAACCTGATTTTGCCACCTGTAGTATTGTCTCGGCTGACAGACTGTGTTCTGAAGACAATGAGAGTACTGTCCCAGAGACAGAAGATACAAAATTAATGGTCAGACTCGCAGGAAGTCCAAAACTGCATTCTTCAGTGTGAGGTGCCATGGGACCATCCAGAGTACTGTGTCCAGAGAACAGCCAGAGAGGGCTGGGCCCACCATGCCTTATCTTGGATGTCTTGGATGTCTTGGATGTTCTCAGTGTAAGGGTTGGGGGAGGTGAAGCCCTGTGAGAGGGGATGAGATCACCCAGGTTCACTTTTTGATGGAGAGGAGACAGGAGTCTGAGCATGCTGACAAACAAGTCCTATATCCCCCATCAGCCTCTAAAAGGCACCGTGTGTGTACCCCCAGCACAGAGCCTGACCCCTACACAGCACAGAGCTCCCTACAGAGAGGGCAACAGAGAATGTGTCCTCTGGTTGTGGTTCCTCCAAACTAGGCCTTTGTCCTCAGTGCACTTAGCTCTGCATGGGTTGCCATAGTAACCTGCAGAAGCAAGGATACATGGTCTCCGTGTTGCCATGGAAACTAGCATTTGGCTGTCCCTGTGTGGCATGGCTGATGAGACCTTGAGGATTCAATCTAGTCCTGAAGGGTTTGGGAGGGGGACAAGAAGAGCAGACAGGTTTCCATGTCCTAATTAATCAGTGATGGTGGTTGTTAGTCTGACTGTTGCCACGGTGATGAAGGGAGACACCTGAGTGGGCTTGTGCTGGCTTCAGTCCTAAGCTGAATACAAGGCATTTCAACAGGCACCAGGTCTTCAAGTGCAGCCTGAAGCAGGACCATCCCCCAAGTACTTCATCCTCTGGCCACCATGGGGGCTAGGACAACTTTATCTTCTTTCTGGGTTTGCACTCTTTTGCCGAGACAGGGATTTTGTCCCCAGGAGGCATTCCCCAGCCCATGGGATCTCGGCATTCAAAGCAGCACAGGAAACCTGGGCCCCTGAAACGGGGCCACCGAAGAGATCGGTAAGCACTCAACACCCTCCTACCTTTAGCCCGTGAACCCCACCCCTGCATTAACTCCAGCTACCCACCCTTCCCTTTGCAGTTCCAAAGCCTCCTCTGCCCCCAGGTGCTTCTCCCTGCTCACCATAAGGGGCTCCCTGCCTTTATCCCCAAGCCCCTGAGGCTCTAGACTGGTGATCAGGTTGGCCTCATTACTTCAGAATCTGCCCAGGATCTCAGGGGATCCTCACCACTGGAGTAAAGGCCTCTCCCCCTTGTTTCAAGTCATCTGGCTGCTCCACAGTCCTGCCTCCATGCCTCTTCTGGTGGGCTCCTCCTTCCAGTCTCTTCCTGCCCCCACCCCCACCCCACACTTCATTTCCACCGCTCCAGCCATTCGCGCCCTCATTCTGGCCTGCCTGCCTGCTGTGCTGGGCTCAGAGGGAGCACCCTGTGGAAGTCCCTCCACCCCAATTCGTCACTGAACTCACTTCCTGAGGCAGCTGAGACCAGGGCACTGAAGGAGGCCTTGAGTGATCACACTGTGCCCAGACAACAGGTGGGGATGATGAGGTGAGGCTGCAAAGGTGTGGAGAATCACCCCTTCTTTTCCTTCTCAGGAGAACAACCAGGAGGAAGTACTGGAAGGAAGGAAGGGAGATCGCTGGGTGAGCTGTCAGGGAAGGAGGGAAGGGAGGATCATCTTCAGGGGATTGTGAAGGGAGGTATGGGGAGGGAGTGGGTGGCTTGATGGCTGTGGACCCCATATGAGCTGGGGTATGTGTGTGACATGGGGTTAGGGAAGGGTGCAACCACTAGGCAAAGTCTGCACTTAGGGTGGCTGTTGTGGGCTTGGTTAGTTCCTCTCAGATCCTCCTGTGCTCCTATGCCCTGACTCCAGCCAGGTGGTGCTGACCAGAGGCCCAGAGGTGTGGGCTGTCTTCACCAGTCTGTCCTAGGACTCTCAGCCAGGCCCACCTGAGGAGAGGGTGTCTTTCACATGTGATCAGGCTATGGCCCCAAACCACTGAGGAGATCATGGTGCGGGAACATCCAGCCTCATTATCCAAGTACCCAGGTCTGGATACGCCTTGTCTCTAGGTGGCATCCCCAGGCCTGTCTTCTGAGGACAGAAGTTGGGTCTTTCCCAGGGCTCCTGAACAGGACCTTATTTGTAATTTATTGATGTTGGGGTCCTTAGGATGTATTTCTTGGCCCATTGGGATGGTCAGAAATAGCAGTCCTGGGAAGGAGAGGCCCGTCCCTATGTACAGATGAGGCAAGGTAATGGAATTCCCTCCCTCTGTGGAGTGGCCACTAGGGTACACAGCACCTGGAGGATCAGCCTGCCCTTCGAGGTCCAGACAAAGAAATAGGGGACACCTAGGGCTCTGGTTTGGCCCCCCGCCCAAGGTTGTCAGTCCTGGAACACTGATAGGATTTGTGATGATGGTAGCCTAAAAGGGAAACTCTGTGGAGAACCATAGGTCTCAGGTGTGACCCTGTATCTCTTTTTTTCTACACACAACCTCAGACCAGATTGGTTTTTTAAGCCTAAAGAACATCTCATGAAGAGAAAAATGTGGTGGTCAAGTTTATCACTTGAACCTGGTGCAGAGGTCTTGGGGAGGAGAGGAGGTATTAGTAGTGTACTTTAGAGAGAGAGCTCTAATGAGACTTGAAGATTTTAGCTCATTTGTCTTTTGCAGCAGGTGCAGTTTGAATGATGTGAGATGATGAGTCTTTTTCCTGTATCTGCTAACCCATAGGCTGTGTCAAGTCTTCAAGAGTCTTTGAGATCCTACATCCAACCCTTTGTTTAATAGAGAAAACTGAGTCTTCAAGGCAAAGTCACACTGCAGGTTCATGGTAGAGTTAGAACTAGAACTCAGGCCACCTGCTTAGGGTTTTTTTTTTTTTTTTTTTTTTTTTTTTTTTTTTTTTATGTGTGGTAAAGATGAGGGAGCCTGCCTCACTTGGGAATCAAGAGGCTTACTGGGAGCAAGTGGCCCTTTGGCCATAACTTTGACTTATGTAAATGGAGGCCCAGTGCATCATGTGGACTGTATAGCTAAAGCTTATGCTGGATGATAGGGATCCCTGGGCCATACTGGGTTTCCGGGCTGGTGTATTTCTGAAAGTTGCTACCTCCCTACTTTATCCAGAGCCTCTAGTACCACTCTGGGTCTTCCATGTTGAAAGGCTCTTCTAGTAGCCCTTAATGTCAGGCAAAACTGCTGAATTCAAGATGGTACCAACAAGCATGTCATTTCACTCTTGGTGACCTATTCTGTGTGGGCATACAGAGCTGTAAATAGATGGACAAAGGAATTGAGGAGAACTCAAACAGCCTCAGATTTGAGGGCTGAATTATAGGGGCACATCAGTATAGGTTGGGAATAGTTGTAATTGAAGGCAAAATTATATGGTCCTTAGGGATATGGTGAAGCAAGAAAGACTGGACTCTTGGCTTGTGGTGTTTGATCTAGGTTTTACCACCATACCAGGCACTTCCATGACCATGAGGACGTTGCCTCCATACCCCAACCTCTGAGACTCCTGTCTTCAACTTGTTAAATGCCACCTTCATTTTATCAACCCATTTCCAGCATCTTGTTGAAACTCTAAAATCTTAGTCTTTTTGTACCTCCTATGCAGTCTGTTCCCCCTCATTGCTACTGTGTCAGCTCAGAAAGACCTTCACCCCCAGTTTTTCTCCTCGCTTTGATCCTATCTGAACCCTATAGCTTGTCTCTGCAGCTGCTCACCATTTGCCGTCTGTCCTCTTAGGCATCTACCCCAACCTTAGAGTGTGGGAATGGTCTGCCTTCTCTAGTACTGGTGTAGAGGGGTGAGGGGACCCCTTTGTGGACTACACTGGTTCAAATTCATGGTCTACAGTCCTCAGTGGAGCTGCCAGAGACCTGCTGCTCAGGCTTATTCCAACCCCACAGCCACTTCAGAGCTCTCACATGACCCTTGACTTTTTCACACCACAGCTCCCCAACTCGTTCTCAGCAGTCAACCTAGACTCTGATTTCACCGAGAAAAGAAGACTTTTCAGAAGGAAGCTTCTTTAACCTCTGCCAGTGCTCCAGACTTACCCATCTATGCCCATCTATGCCCCTGGCCCCCATCATATTGAGAAATAGGTGTTCCTCTTCTGGTTAGACTCTTCACCGGGGATCTAATAATCCTTCCTATATCCTGCCCCCACCCCAGTACCTTGCTCTGTTGCTTATCCCTCCCTCCTTCTCTCCCTTCATCCCTCCCTGCCTACCTTTGTGTCCCCACTCTCCTGGCATCTTCCACTGTAACCTAGTTTAAAAAACAACCCCAAATTTCTTGACTTTACAACCCTTCCTCTCTCCTGTTCTTTTTCATCTATTGAAACCAACATCATGTCTGTCATCTCCACTTCCTCAGCTCCTGCTGAGTCCTCAGTCCACTACAGCCTGGCTTCTGCCTCCACTTCACCACCCATGCAGCTCATGCCAATGACTCATATAAATCCAGCTGAAGCCTCTCAGTTCCTCCTCTACCTCCCAGCCACACTTGACATAGAACACACCCTGACTTTGGTATGCTCTTCCCTTGTCTTCCATGACCCTACTTCTTGTTTGCTCTCTCCTATATTGATTTCTTAGTCTTTGTGAGAATTCTTTTTCTATCTTCATCTCTTTTCTCCCTTACCTGGGTTTCTGGTGATCCCATCAATGACCATAGCGTCCACTTCCATCTCTAAGCTGAAGACTAGAACTGCTCCCCAGACCTTTTCCTTAGTTTCTATTTTTTAGTTTTTGTAGCTCATGTACTGAAGTTCCTTCTTAGGTGCCCAAACATTTAGGATTATTATGTGCTTTCAAGGAGTTCACCTGTTCACCAATATAAAATGTCTTCTTTATCCCTGGTAAAAAAAAAAAATTGTTTTGAGGTCTACTTGGTCTGATATTAATATAATCACTCTGGATTTCTGTTGATGACTGTTTGCATGGCATATCTTTTCATCCTTTTACTCTGAGCCTCACTTTTATATTGGAAGTAGTTTTATTTTAGACTGCATTTAATTGTGTCATTTTTATCCAGTCTGATAGATTTGGTATTGGAGTGTTTAGATAGTCTAAACTTACTATTATTATCAATAGACTTGAGTTTACTCCCACCATCTTGCTATCAGTATTCTATTTGTTCCACCTATCACCCCCCGTCCCTTGCCACTTTTCTTGCTTTCTTTGGGATTAGCTATTTCTTTATGATTCTATTTTATCTTTCACTTTTATCTTATTAGCCATAACTTTTTAATGTTTCTATTTGTTTTTATGGTTGTTGTAAAGTTTATATATCTTCAATTTATACAGTCTTTCTTCAGATGATGATATCATGAATAGCATAAGAACCTTGCAACAATATAATTCCATTTCTCCTTTGAGCTATTATCATCATGCATTTTGCTTCTGTGTAAAAAACCCAACAATACGATGTTATTGTTTTTGCTTTAAACATCCAATTACCTATTAAAAACTAACATTTTTATTGGGATGTAATTCACCTATTTATAGTGTACAATTCCATGATTTCAAGTTGTGCAACCATCACTACAATCAGTTTTTGAACACTTTCATTACTTTCCTTCCCTGTAGAACAACCATGCACATTAGCAGTTTTTCCTTTTTCCTACCAAGCCCAGCCCTAGCGAACTGCTCCTCTATTTTCTGTTTTTAGAGATTTGTCTATTCTGGACATTTCATATAAAGGTCATAATAAAATATATGGTGTTTTGTGATTATCTTCTTTCCTTAGTGTAGTGTTTTCAAGGTTTACCCATATTGTACCGTGTATCAGTACTTCATTTCTTTATAATTGCTGATAATATTCCATTCCATGTATATGCCACATTTGTTTATCCATACATTAGTTGTTGAACATTTGGGTGTTTCTACGTTTTACTATTATAAGTAATGTTATTATGAGTATTTGTGTTCACATTTTTTGTATGTACATATGTTTTCATTTCTCTTGGATATATATATGCTTACAATCTGTGCTCAATCTTCTGAGGAATCGCCAGACTCTTTTACATTCTGATTTTTCTATCTACATCCTTTCCAATGCAAGTTGTTATTTGTAATTTTAATTATAAGCATCCTAGTCAGTGTGAAGTGGTGTTATATTTTGGTTTTGAGTTATATTTCCCTAATGAATCATAACAACTAATATGCTTATAATCCATTTGTGTATCTTCTTTAGAATAATATCTATTCAAATACTTTGTTTTTTAATTGGGTTGTCTTTTTTATTATTGAGTTGAAAGCATTCTTTATATATTCTAGATACAAGACCTTTAGTAGATGTATAATTTGCAGATATTTTATTCCATTCTGAAGTTGTCTTCACTTTCTTGACAGGGCCCTTTGCAAGAAACCTTTTGAAAGAAATCATTGCCTATTACATGATCACAAAGATTTTTGCCTATATTATCTTTGAAGACTTTTATAGTTTTAAATCTTATATTTAGTTTATGTGTTTATTTCATTTTGAGTTAATTTTTGTGTTGATGTGAGGTAGGAGTCTGTGTTAGTCAACTTGCTATTGTTACAATGAAATACCTGAGATACTTAACTTATAAAGAGAAAAAGGTTATTTTGGTTCATGGTTTTGGAGTTTCCAG